GGTTTTGGGCTGTTATCCAAGCTGCAATTGTCTCGTTACACGTATACAACCAACCAATACGGATTCAGCCGATTGACTGCACGAAGGTTCACACCCATAACCCTCCTTATCCTCCTGCTGCTGCCACTGCTCTTTTCAGGGACTTTGACGATGGACACAGGTGCGAGAGACACTTCCACATCTGCATGGAAACGTGAAGAACATGTTACCGCCCACGACCAGGCCCGACACTCAGCTGAGGATGGACGGCTTCAAGCCACTCAGGTCAGATTCGAAGCTAGGATTACCAGCACGGGCTGTTCGACCTTATAAAAGCTTATCCACCTTATGATGCTATTCGACCTTATAAAGTTGTAGCCTATCTTGTAGCGACAGGCTCGCTCATGTTAACACGCAGAAACGACCAATGATTTGGTGATTTCATGGTGCGATTGCGCTATAATAAGCTTCGCCCGCTATGAGCAGAGCTCGCTCACTCAGCGTCCGATATTATATATATACTATAGTGTTGATAATGATGTTGTTGTTGCTGTTGTTGTTGTTGTTGCTGTTGCTGTTGTTTTTGGTTGTGTTGTTGGTGGTTTTGGCGGTGGTCGTGGTGTTTTGTGTGTATACAGGGATGACCGGTGCAGGGCAGGGACGGGTTGGTGGGTTGGTTTGGGTTCACAGAGGGGGGGTGCGGTGTGGGGTGTGTGCATGCATATATCACACACACGTATACTGTATGTGTCAGTGTGTGTGTGTGTGCGTGCATCGTGCATGTGCATGAGTGCTCGATGTGCAGTCATGCAAACTGTGACATGGCTGTGCAGTCATGCATGCAAGCTGTGACATGGCTGTGCAGTCCTGCTCATGCAGTTGATGCTGTGACTGTGTGAGTTGCGGAACCTCCGATTGCAGGTTTTTGTGCTCGATCCTAGGCAGCTGGCATGGAGTCACGACAGAGAAGCAAACGTGCATGCATGGGCAGTCAGCACAGCACAGCACAAGATGACCTGTGATGCTACTTGCTAAGATTCTAGAGGTGGCCGGGCAATTATAGGTGTAAGTTTTTCGCAGCCACTCATGTCCTATATTTACGCGTGCATTTTCCACTGCAGCTTGTACTTCCATTTCGAAAAATCTCCTTGAAATCATGGCGGGTTCACGCGGTGAGAAAGTGGCATACTTGGCTGACAAGCTGTACAACAGCTTGGTGGAGGGCGATCAGAACCGCATCGCTTTAACAGGGATGCTGTCACCCACGAATTCCTTGCGGCACAGATCCACTCGTGCCTGCTTCAGTTGGGTGCAAAATGAGTTTTTGGGGGAGCGCATGTTTACACATGCCATGATTCGTGACGCCATCGCGAAGATGGCGCTCGACAAAACTCTTTTCCTGGTCGTTCCACAGACCCCGGGGGTCAGTGAGAAGGCATGGATCGAAGACCAAGCAAAGGCGGTTCATGCCTTACTGAAGAAGGTGGCTGGTCTTGAATTAATATGCAGTGGCTTGTTAGCACATGAAGTATACACATTGCATGTTTCGGTCTCTTCGAGGCCAGAAAGTCGACAGTGCAGCATCCTGAGGACCGGTCATGCATATCCACTTCTATTTTGTTTATACGCATTTCTGTAGATTTTAAACATGTGTGCTATGTGTACACTGCATGAGTGTACTGGTTCCACAGTCCCCGAGAAATATTTGGCTGGTTGTAAATACATATATATATACATATTATATGTGTGTGTATATGTTAACTAGACACAATCGTGTACATAGGTAGCCCCTGCGCAGTAGCATCACAGGTCAAGCAGATCATACTTAGGGATCCTCCGATCGAACTTGTCGACCATGGATGACATGGAAACCCAAGCTTGGGTGATGGATGTTGAGGAGGACAGCAGTGGTTGTATAATCAGTGGTCGACTGGTGTATATATATATATACATACATACATATATATATATATACATATATAATAGCTGTATACTTAATCGTTGTGCGGCGAGGATGATGCGGTCGACCGCGAGGGCTTCAACAAGAGGGGAAGCAACGAAAGTGCATCTCGGTTATAACGTGGTTTACCATTGTGTTTGCCTGCATGTTTGTTCGTGTCACATCTGAGGTTGTTTCTGCAGGGGGGATCCGCCCAGCAAAGCGGCTGCGAGAGAAGACGAATCTTTGCAGCATACATTTGTCCTCGACAGAGATTCAAAACTCCTCATACGATAAGGAAGATCCGGGTCTGCAAGCCGGATGAGAAGGAGGAGAGTATGTTGCATGCATGTACATATAGGGTTGAGAGTATAGGGTTTATAAGGGTCCTTTTAAATTTATTGGGTTTGTATAATTACGGCTTGTAGGGTTTTGGGTTTAGGGTTGTTTAGGCTTTAGAGGTTGCGGGCCTTGAAATCCATAATGTCTGTATAACCCCCCGCCCCAACCTATAGCTCGCTTCGGAGGAGCAGTGGACGGATGAACAATGGGCGGCTTGGCAGGTGCGGTCATGTATGTATCAAACAAGCAACTCTATAATCCGCTTCGAAGGCCGGTGAGATGTGGACGGATGCAGAATGGGCTGCTTGGGAGGTGCGATAGTTTGGAAAATTGAGCGCTTAGAAATATTGCATTGGTGCAGGAGGAAAAGAATGAGGTGTCGACGACGCCGAAGGAACTGTGAGGAGTACTACTTTAGTGATCGTTTGTTCAAGCATGATTGCAGGACCTGAAGCCCGAGGATGCAGATGATTGGGGCGCATGGTCAGCTGATGGCAAGAAGGCCTGCAAGGTTTCATTAATTCTAGTGCTGTGTATATGTTGCTTGAGTACATGGTTTGTGGAGGCTCCAGATGGTGAAGGATCAGATGATAATTGGGGCTCGTGGTCAGCTGCTTCCAAGAAGGCCTGGAGGGTGCCGTTCGATCTAGACCTGCATGTTTATGTTGTTTGAAGAAACGATTTGTTGGAGGAGACTCCAGATCCTGGTGCTGGAGCCTATGAGTCTCAGCAGGCCTCGAAGTTTCGTTCTATAGTACTTTGTTGTATGTTGCTTGAGCACACGATTTGCTGGAGGAGACTACGGATGCTGGTTCTGGAGCCTATGAGGCTAAGAAGGCCTGGAAGTTTCGTTCTATAGTACTTTGTATATATGTTGCTTGAGCACGCGATTTGGAGGAGACTACAGATGCTGGTTCTGGAGCTGATGAGCATAGCAAGGCCTGGAATTTTCGTTCTTTAGTACTCTGATCAGAGCCTTACATGCAGGATCTCCTTCCAAGCCCCCAATCCTACCCAAACCCAGGCTGCAGATGATCAGGAGGATCGCTGGTGGTTGGAGAAGGATTCAGCCACGTGGGGAGACTTTCTTGGGGCTCCGGCCGCTGCCTGGAAGGTTTCGTTCTAGTACTGATAGATATGTGCTGCTTTTATCCTGGTTTGGTGCAGGCTGATGCTTGGGGCTGCGACGCTGCCTGGAAGGCTTCGTTCTAGTACTGATATTATATATGTGCTGCTTTTATCCTGGTTTGGTGCAGGCTGATGATTGGGGCGGCGATGCTTCCTGGAAGGCTTCGTTCTGGTACTGATACATGTGCTGCTTTTATCCTGGCTTGGTGCAGGGTGATGATTGGGGCGGCGACGCTTCCTCGATTAAGGCTTCGTTCTAGTACTGATATATGTGCTGCTTTTATCCTGGTTTGGTGCAGGCTGATGATTGGGGCGGCGACGCTTCCTGGGAGGCTTCGTTCTAGTACTGATTATATGTGTTGCTTTTATCCTGGTTTGGTGCAGGGCGATGATTGGGCCGGCGACGCTTCCTGGAAGGCTTCGTGAGAAGGCCTGGAGGGTTTCGTCCTAGTACTGATACATGCTGCTTTTGAGCGCCTGATTTGTTGGAGGAGGCTCCAGATTATGATTGGTCAGCTGGCAACAAGGCCTGGAAACCCTGCAAACGTTAAGCCCTATAAACGCATATTATATGACTATATATATATGTGTATGTATGCATGCATGGATGTATGTATGTATGTATATATATATACATATATATATATATGTATGTATTTCGGTCTGTATATGTATACAGTAAACTTGGAGGATTGCGGCTATTGGGTTTCCAACTCTTGGGCTTCTACTGTATATATATATATACATATCAACGATCGTTCAATTGAAGGAGCCCAACTGGACAGATGCAGAGTGGGCAGAGACCCCGATGGAGAAGGCGATGTACTTGTATTAGAAGGTACAAAAATTAATGGGATTTCTCACTCTGGCTCGTGACCTCTTGCCAGGACCCACAGGTCAAGAAAAGAAGACGATCCTCGTCGAGATAGCCGAGGTATCGTTCACAATTTATGAGCATTCATAAAAAATATGGACACACTGCTCCTGTTCAGGATGACGAGGACTGGGATGTCGATGAGGCCGAACTGGTCGAGGCTGGGGGGAAACATTTGGGGGGAAACATTTATACGCGAGTGCCTTGCGACCCGATATCGCAGGACTCGCCAGAGGATGATGAGTGGCCGGAGGAGGTCGCATTGCATCTGTGAGTATAATTAATTCACATGACATAAGTGAAATCTCTTGATATCATCGGCCAGGCCTGGCCTGGAAAAGATGCATCGGGGGAAGCCGATGAGTGGCCCGAGGAGGCTATGATGCACTCTGGCCAGTCCGAAATATTAAGTTGATGCTGAAATGACCGGCGAGGTCATCACGAAGCATGGTGCTGCTGATCATGATGATGGTAGCTTGCATTGCAAATTTGATTTGCATGGGTGCATTGTCTGATCGGATGAGTGCAATGGTCCTGTACCTAAGGAGACTGGGAAGCCGAGGAGCGGCCACCAAAGGAGGCATCGATCGTACTAATACAAATAAAACAAATTATACGTATGTGCACATTATAAGTTAATTAACTTACAACTGTAAATATCATCGGGGTCGTTGGCCAGGAGCTTCAAAAGAAACGGGTAACGACAACGGACAAGCGCTTTGGCTTCGTCACAAAGGAAGGCATGCAGGCGCTGTTCGGCAACCAAAGCCAGAATGAACCTCAGCAAAGCCGACAGTACTCACACATGCTGTATTTTGGGTTTGTATATATTTGTAAAACACATAGTATTTATATATATATATAAATGCATAGCTGATGTTGAAGCGAGGAGATCAGCCGGGACGATTACGAATGGAAAGAGCTTTGGCTGAATCTGGTCGCTGGTCCTGTTTATATATTTGCATTTTCTTTGATTGAGTCTTGGTTCAGACAATGAGGATTATGATGAGTGGACAGCTGGCCTCGATGGCCCATGGAATGAGCCTTGGATCAATCTGGTCGTAGATCGGTCACGCCTTATAATTGCACGTGGAAGATTATACGATAGTTTGGCAGGCCACGCATGACCCAGATGAGGGCGAGATGAACGAGGTACTATGGCTGCTAATTATGAGTGAAATATAGACGGTTGCTTCTGGGTGTTCGGGCTTGCTCTGGGTCGGATCATACTACAGTCCTTTGGGATGTGCGACCAGGAAACATGGAATGGAGATTGGAAAGCCCCGGTGGCCTGGGAACCGCAGGCAGAGCTTCGGCAGCATCTGTATTTTCGGACAGAGACCCCAAGTTACCTTTGTAAACCCAAAACCCTAGACCCTAAACATAGGTTTGAGGTATGTGTCCATTAATATTTGAATGCATATGTATGATGCGAGCCACTATACTTGCTCGTTCATAAATAAATAAGTAAAAAAATGTGTGTATATATATATATATGTTTCTCGATAGATAGACAGATAGATAGAGCTACATTGTGTATACATGTGCATATTAGATCCATCTGCTTCGGGCATCATTCTCGAACTTGAGAGTTTCGAGTGCACGGTGCACAAACAGCTTGTGTTTGGGACTGGTTAAATCGAAGATCTCAGGGTCATGAGCCCCGTGATATTTCTTCGGAAAGCGATGAAAAGCCCTCGGCTTCGACAGAGCTTTGGCAGCACACTTTGAGAACAGCAGTGATGTTAGGATATTGAGAATGTACACTGTCGTCATAGGTAGGTGCACGGTTTAGGGATTAGGGTCTCTAGATCTTTCCAGCCAAGGCCAAGAAGGCGTTGGCGATTCTTGCTGAAGGCAAGAAGAATGCAGCCCCAAAGGCGAAGGCTGGACAATAAGCCCTGAACCCGAAACCCTAATCCCTAAACCCTAAACCCGAAACCCCTAAACCCCTAAACCCCTAAACCCTCTAAGTTCTATAAGCCCTAAAGTGCACTCAAGCCCTTCGTTTTATGACGCAGGCCAAAGCCAGTGCTCGCGATCGATCCGAGGAGGGACCTGCCGCAGCTCGGACTGATGATCATGTGGGTGCAATTCAATACAAAACACATCGGAAGCATCGATCGGCCGATAAGCTGTATATAATTATGCCTACCATGGTTGCACTATAGCTAAGGAGTTCTGGCTTGATTCCGCTGATATCATTCGACTTGACAATCCCTGCAAGTTCGGAGGTTTCAACGAGGCTATTGAATCCTGTACTAGACATGCAATATCGGCCGTAAACCCACATAGACAGCGGCTATTGGTGGCATCGGGCAAGAAGGTCGTCATGCCAGCTCCGATCAAAAAACGAGCAGATCCGGATCGGAGCACTCGTGCGGCTCCATCTGAGGAGCCGAATAATAAGGACTCAGATGCAAAGGCCAAGCGGCAGGACACGATCTACAATACGACGAGGAAGTCCTATTTGGCCTCGCAACTCGAAATCAATCAAGCACTGTGCACTGTAGGTTTCTACTTTAAATTATGACTTGCCATGATCCAAGGTTGGACCCAAGCATGAGTGCCAAGGATAAGGAGCAGAGGCCAGTTCCGATCGTATTTGTTACTGCTTTAAAGTCCACATATATTCAACCCGAACCCCCGAAACCCTAAAGCCCTGATTGCCTGCAGGTGGAAGGCGTCCAACGAAAGGGTCGAGGTCCTCAAGCACTTTAGCTTGAAAGAACAGAAGAAACGCCGCTATATCTAGGATCGAGCGCCTCTTTTCCATAGTTCGAAGACGAAGATCGAGCAGAGCTTGCCGAGGGGTGGGAAAAGAATGGCTCGAAGGCTTCACTCGATCTGCTGCTGGCTTCATTATCAAGACATTGCATTGTCTGCTCCATCCGCAGCCACTTCTAGAGAAATAAGCACTGAGCAAGTTCTTTATCATCAGATCAGAAAACAACAAGGCATCGATCGCACCACATACAATAATGAAGTACTCTCGCCTTGCTCCCCTGCTGGCATGCCTTTATCTGAGTGCACGCCTTATTTGCTCCGAGTCACATCAACGCCGGCACGTGTATCAGCTTTGCAGCTTCGTGGTCATCTGAGCCTTCGGTGCTGTGGATCCAGAGAAAGAACTGGACTTCTTGGAGATCTTTGCAGGACGGATTGGGTTTGAGTCTGTGGAACTCCTTGTTAGATAAACCTATGATGTGTCCAATCTGGAGGATGCCATATGCTGACGTCGGCGGCCTTGCACTATGGCCTCAACGCCCATGGGTTGGACGCAACTTGCATTGTCTGATCATATATCGCCGCCGCAACTTTTCAAGGTTGTGATTTGCATACAGCACACCTAGGTTGCCTACAGCTCGAAACTGGACATCCTCACGGCATTCGGCTTTCTTGCCACGCTGCACAACGCAACTCGCTTATAGATGACTTGCATGTGTGCACAGCCAGTTCATCGAACACTTGACACACCCATATAATATGAGGTGAGGAGACTGCGACGTCATGGTGTTTGCTGGTATGGAACGCCATGTTCAACATGGGTGTTCATGTGTTGTGGCTTGCATATAGTCTTTGCTTTTTGACAGTTCTCGTGCTGATAGACACGACCGTATCTGCTAAGGAGCCGGGGGTCTACGAAGAGAACGCGACTGAATGTTAAAGGTGTCCCGGTCCAAACCCTAAATCCCCAACCCTAAACTTATAGGGTTTAGGGTTTGGGCTTAGGATATCAACATACACAGGTTCCGAAAAGAGCCAGAAGGTTGCAGATGGCAACCGGATCGCCAGAAGACTGGCCTACCTGCTCTTTGGCCCAGATCTATGTGTATCTAGTCTTCAGTATATAATGATGTGGACAATACCCGAGGCTGGAGTTTCATTGGCGATCTGGACAATATTACATTATTGAGAACCCAGTGAGCTCCTTGCTGTTCGAGTATCCTGCAATCAAGGATCCTTGTCCTTATATGTGCTGAAGTACGGATCCGATTTGTCTTGTTATGTAGATTTGTTGAATGTAGAACCAAGCAGCTTCCAGGATCGTCTGAAAGCCCACGGCGCCAGAACAGTGAACATCTGCCTTGGGGCAGTGGGAGCACCGAGCACCAAATGTGCAGCTTGGTTTTAAATTATTGTTGGGTCTAATATACACAATATCCTGGAAATTGAATTCCGGACTACCCAAATCCCCAATATTCTTCCCCATTAGCTATATATATATATAATATATATATATATATACACTATATATATATATACATTATATATATATATACACATTATATATATATACATTATATATATACATTATATATATATATACATTATAAATATATATATATATATGTATACACGCACACACTTTAAACTCCTACAACCTGAAGCCCATAATCCCCTAAATTAATCCTAAACTCCGCTCTTAACCCTGAACGTAGCATGAGACTATGAACCTTAAGCCCCAACAACCTTCATATTAAAGCCTGATTTAATCCCTGATAACTACTGCCTTGCTGAGGTGACCTTGGTTGGCACAGCCCCCTTCCTAAACAAGCTCTACACCCGACTGTCTGCACCAAGGAGGCCACGTAAGTTTATGCCAAGCTCCAGCCGACAACGATTGGATGAGAAGGAGATGGTCTTCGAAGACGCCGGCCATTCCTCAGATGATGACTCAGGTCTTGAGGATGTGATTGGTGCCCCGCGGGAGAACTAGGGTGTTTCAACTTTGGGGCACTTCGAGATTATTGGGGTCAGTGCTCCATTACAATGGTTGCAAGGAAAGCAGGATTGATGCTATCTGATTTCATGATATATATATATAAGACCCGAAGCTTATATCTATAGATAGGTGTAGATCTACACAGCCAATCCTGATAAAGCTTGCAGCCGTCTCTAGTTTTGCTGCTCACGGTAGCAGATCTAGACCCGTGATGCAAAGTTTCGGGAAAATTCGTGCAACCACCGGAAGCGTGTATCAGCGTGTATCTGCGTGTATTTGACCTCATAGAGAGGTCGTTAGCGTGTATCTGCGTGTATCCCTGATCGGTCGATAATCACGATCAAGTCGCATGCCAAATCCACTAATCGACCTTATAATTTCAGGCTCAACGGCTCAAGCTTTGGCTGAAAAGATTCGGCCGCTATGGTGGCAGCTAGCAAAGGCGGAGGAAAGAAAGGAAAGGTGAAAGATGGGGGCAACCTCTATATAGAGACGAGCCCCCGGAGCTACACATACGAAGGCAAAGTGGAACGGGACGCCAAAGAGGGAGAGGAGACCAAGCAGCAGCCGAAGCAGCAGCAGCAGAAAGGCGAGAAAGGCAAGAAAGGATCCAAGGGAAAGCTCAATCCTGAGGACGCTAAAGGGCATGCCAAAGGTAAGAAGGGCAAGGCCACCCCGGACCACTCCAAAGGAGAGGGCAAAGGCGAGGGCGAACCCATCACCCAGCAGGTGAAGGGCAAGGCCAAGGGAAAGGAAAGCAAGGGCAAAGAGGAGGAAGCACCAGCAAAGGACACACCCACGACACAAGACCAGAAGGGCAAGGCCAAGGGAAAGGAAAGCAAGGGCAAAGGCGAGGAAGCACCACCAAAGGACGCACCCACGACGCAAGACCAGAAGGGCAAGGCCAAGGGAAAGGAAAGCAAGGGCAAAGGCGAGGAAGCAGCGGCAAAGGACGCACCCAAGACACAAGACCAGAAGGGTGGTTCCAAGGGAAAGGAAAGCACGGGCAAAGGCAAGGAAGCAGCGGCAAAGGACGCACCCAAGACACAAGACCAGAAGGGCGGTTCCAAGGGAAAGGAAAGCAAGGGAAAGGGAAGCAAGGGCAACGGTGAGGAAGTACAGGCAAAGGACGCACCCAAGACGCAAGACCAGAAGGGCGGTTCCAAGGG